CAGTCCTGTGGATGGAGCCTTGGGCTTCATGCGTGCTGGGGAGGCACTCTACCAATGAGCGGACTCCCAGCCCCTGTTAGATTTCACGCTATTAGCCCTAAGTTATACATGCTCCCCTTTCCTGCCCTCTTCCAGGTCATTATAGCTTTATTACAAATTCCTTGTGAGAGCTGGGATTAAAGGCACGCCCCACCACAGCCCGGTTGAGACCCTGTATAAACACACACACACACACACACACACACACACACACACACACTCCTACTTTCCTCTTCCTATGAGAAGAGCAACCCTAGGAGACCTCTACCGTGTAGGTAAGAGCTCAGCACCACCTCCTCCATGGATGCCACACAAGTGGATGAAGCTCCTCGGACTCCTCGGACTCCTCAGACTCGGAGTACATCTGACTTAGCTAAAACAGGTTTAGCTCATGCTCTAGATGGCGGGCTCCAGACTCAAGAGGACAGCCCTTGTCAGGAGCATCCGTGAGCGGAAGCGAAGACGGCGATGCCTGGCTGCTGCAGGCGTTGCCACTTCTTTTGCCCACGTTTCAGATTTTGCCAGCCCCGTACTAAATGGAAGCCTCAGGGATTTCAGCTGGAAAGCAGCTGAGGTCCTAGTTACAGAACCTCCCCACACACCACACCAGAAGCCAGGGAACCACTTTATTTACGGCTTTTAGTTGAATCTGAACAAAACAAGGATACGTGGTGTGATGAGATAAGGCCGCCTAGACTCCGATTCCAATCGGCATTTTATTTCTTCTGGAGAGTGAAATGACTCACACAAAGCCTGGTGTTTATTAGATGCAGGGACACCTCACCTTAGTGAAGGGATCACGGGTGGCGAACACAGCGACGGGCCAGTGAGGCAGAGTTCTTGTTTATTATACAAATATAGCCTGGAGGGCAGGCCAGATGGGTTGGAGGGTTAAGGTGCTTGCCACCAAGTCTGATGAGTTGAGTTCTAGCCCTGCAGTCCACGTGGTGGAAGGAGAGAGATGGCTCGTTAAGTTGCTCTTTGACAGACGCACCCGTGTTCTGGCAGGACGGCCCTCCCCAGGCATACGTGTGCATGTGTGTGCATACACACAAATAAATGAATGTAAGCTCTCACACACACACACCTGGACATCACATTTAAGTATGGGAAGGTTACCCGGGGACTCTTGAGTTATTCAGGGGCAAAAATAGCATTTTCACCCACTATTACACACTAAGATAGGTGTCAGGTGAATTGCTAAGGCAGAAAGCTATTGAAAAGAAGCCTCTCAGGAGGCTCCTGCACTCTCCAGGCTAGGTCAGCTCCTCTACCTTTAGCCTTCATGTTCTGTGATCAAAAAAGAGTGGCAGCGTCTCCCCATTGGGCACACTATTACCTGGTGTCCTCACAGGCATGCTGTTTCTCCCAGCTTTATTCTCTTCAGCGAATGAATGTCTAGCTTTCCTTAGGGTGAGGGAGGGGTAGCCATTCCTGCTCCATGGAGGAGGGGGCCCCGGGGTCTGGATCCCTTGGCTCATTCTCCTTTCGGGCAGCGCCACCTCCACCCACTTGGAGGTCACTGCTGTGGCTCCCGGTAATTAGGGTGTGTCCGTGTTGCTGGGCCGTCTGCATGACCTACACTCATTATCAGAGAGAAAGCCCCTAAATTTCTTTCAGTTTACAATTTCTTAGCTTTTGACCTTTTCTTTCACTTCACTTCTTGGAATATCTTTCTTTCAAAGAAATAGAAACCGGGGAAAACATGAGAGCATCTATCTCACAGTGTCATTTAGCTTAGAGAAGCATGAGGTGGGAGCATCCGAAGTCCAGGGCTGGAGTTAGCTCCTGGCTAGGGAGCCACTGACAGAGCCCATGACCTAAGATGCATTTCCAAAGGCAGTTAATGATGTGAGGGAAAGGTATGCGATTCGGTGGAAAATGGAGAAGGCAGAACACAGGCCTGTTGACATCCTGTTACTCTGATTTTACTTGACCATAAGCATAAAAGATTACAAAAAGGGATGGTTTTAAAATATAGTTTGCTTGTTTATTGTGTGTGCAGTGCCTTGCGGAGGCCAGAAGGGGTCAGATCTCCTGGAATTGAAATTAGAGGCAGCTGAGATCTGCCTGATGTGTGTGGTGGGACCCAACCTGGCTGCTCCGGAACTCCCAGAGATCCACCCACCTCTGCCAGGAGAGTGCAGACTAAAGGGGTCGGGTCGCAATGCCTGTCCAGCCATAGCTTTCATTGTTGAAGTTAACATACAAAATAAAGGGTTATGGTGTGACATTTATACACAGGTGTTTCTTTACACTTAGTTCTAATCAGGTCAGCCTGGATGACTGAGTGACCCATTCTCAAGAAAACCAAACCAAACTAACAACAAAGATCAAGGAAAAACAAGAAAAAAGAATCATGAGGTCAGCAGCCTGGTGGCCAGTCAGCCAGCACAGTTAGATCAGAAGTTTGCTATCACTCAGCTTGACACAGCCCCCTGGCTTGGTTTACATGTATTCCCATAACCCTGTCCTCCTCTTGCCTACCAAGAAAGGCAGCGCTGAATCCAAGTGACTGGAATTTAGCTTTTTCTAAAATAACCTCGAGTCTATTCTGATTCACAAAAAATAACACTCCATTCATGAGCTTCAGGCCAGGCACGGTGACGTGGTGCTCTGTGCAGCGTTCCTCGGGTCTAATTATCCTGTTTCTCACCCAACCCAGTCACTTCACAGGGGAGAAACCGAGGCAGGGGGAACGGACAGAACCACAGTCAAGTGTGTGAGAGAGACTGAGGCAGACTTGGTCTCCTAACCCTGGACAGTGCACTTTTTTGGGACCAGGAGCTCACTTTGGTCTTGGGGCGCTCTGGGGAAGGGTGGATGGGAGGGAGGAGGGGGCAAAGGAAACTGTATGATGTAAAGTTACTGCCCAGCCACACTCTCCATCAAGACCACCGAGTTTGCATGTGCTAGTACATTCTCCCAGCTTTACGGACCCTTGTGTGGGAGTGAGAGGGTCAGCAGGTATCAGTGTGAGTCAAACTGTGTCCTCCTTAAAAGACATGCTGAAGCCTTTGAAGGAGCCCCACTACCCACGCCCCAAATTGTAATCTTATTTGGGAATACGGCCTTTCCCAGAAATAACAAAATTGAAATTACATCTTTGGATCAAATCCAGTATGAACATGCTCACAAAAACACACTACACACACACACACACACACACACGGGGGACAAGGTCATAGGAGAAGTGTTGAGGGGGGGTGAGGAAGAGAGGGAAGGAGATGGAGTCAGAATGCCCTAACAAGGTGGACATAGAAAGATGCTCAAAAAAACAAAAACAAACAAACCAACCCTGCTAGGAACCAGGGAGGGGATTCTAACACACTGCCCTCAGAAACCTTGAGCTTGGATCTCCAGGGTCCAACAGGTCAGAGGATACATTTGTATTGTCTCAGCCACCTTCTTTTAAAATCAGTGTTTGTCACCATGGTTACCGTGGTTTTGACAATCAAAGGCAGGTGGGATGGAGCCCTCCATGCTCTTCATGAACACTGCCCTTCCTCAAACCACAGGGTCCCATTCCCCTGTACCATCCTTACCCTCAGCCTCCTCCTGTGCTTGTGTTTGTATAGTTATCAGTTTAGGTCCCAGATCCCCAGTTTCCCCCAGGCCCAGCTTCCTCCTGGCCCCCACATCGAGTTCAGAGAAAGTGAGCTCAAAGCCAGGATGCTCGCTCATCTTCATCAAACCTCTGTCACTGCCTTTCCAAGCTGGGCCAGGGAGAGGGCTTCAGACAGGGATGCTCTGAAGCCTACAGCCCTTGACTTCTCAGCTTCGAAGGCACTCAGCCTCCTGAGTCAGGCAGGCCTGCTAACACAGACCCACTTCTTTGTGCCCAGTTTAACTCAGTCTCTCACTTCACTGCCACATCTGGGCCTCTGGGGGAATGCAAGTGTCTCCGTGGCAACATTGGGACTCACTGACACAGATGTGTTCTGAGCAGTGGTCCAGACCCTGAGAGGTAGTGGCTATTGTTGGTGAAGTCAGGGGAGGCTTCCTGGAGGAGGACAGATGTTATGTTTCCAGGCCTTACTGGAAAGTGTGAGATGAATTTTGTCGCTTGGCTTCGATGAGGCAGGCAGCCATATGCTTTCGTTGATTTTATTTCATATCCTTTGTGAGGAAGGTGAGGCTGTCCTTGAACTCACTATCTATAGTGACCTTGAACTTTGAAGCTGCCGTCACTTCCTCAGTGCTGAGTGGGACTCAGGCATCCAACACCATGCCAAGGTTATGTGTCCCTGGGTGTTCAACCCAGAGTTCCCACCTAGCAAAAGTGAAGCTCTGCCAGCTGAGCCCTATCCTCAGCCTGGTTATGTTCTAGAGATGAGAAAAACTGTGACGCAGACCCGATCAACTTTAGGCCACAAGGCTGGTACGTGGGGGAGCAATATTTAAACTTATGAACCAGGTGTGAAAGCTCATGTTATTTCTCATGTACCAATGCTCTGACCTTTTCTGGACTATAGTCTCTTAGAGGCTCCGAGGGGGAAAGGGTGGCAAAGTAGGAAGGGGGTCGTCTGTCTGTTTTTCACAGTGAGTTCTGGATGCATAGACAGGAGCTAAGATACAAGCTGGTTAATAGGACACTGACTAGGAGTGGAATGAAAAAAAGGCCAGTACCAGGGCAGTTTCAAAAGGCAGAGGAGAGATCGATCGGTGCTGAGGGGAAGAATGTCAGCCTGGGGGTTTAGGCTACTCACTGGAGCTGGGCTGTGGATGATAAAAGACTAGAACTGGGAGGCAGAGGCAGGTGGAGCTCTGTGAGTTCAAGGTCAGCCAGGTCTACAAAGGGAGTCTAGGACAGCCAAGGTCCCCTAAAGAAACCCTGTCTTGAGGTAGGGTGGAAAACCAAGGGAGGAAAAAAAAAAAAAAAAAAAAAAGAAGTCTGGGTAAAATAACTGCCTCCCTCTCCCCACCCCAGGCACCCATGACAACATCGGCGCACGCCTGACTTATGATCGAGTCCCGTTTATTTTAGAAGCATAAACAGTGGAACTAGGAGCGACAGAAACGAGACACCAGCCAGTTCCCCTGGAAAGGGCCAGATCCAGGGCAGGCTGAGTCTGTCCAGGTGACGAAGCCGAGCCAGCAGCCTGCATCAACCTTTTCCCCAGAAGGAGAGGGCTGTGATGAAAACCCAGGGTTCCGTGACTCGCCTCATAGGGGAGGCCCAAGAGTCAGGTTGGCTTGGGGGTCCCTCTGGGTCAGGCGAAAAGGATCAGAGGGCCAAAGCACCCTTGGCCAAAAGCACCCCCACGTGCTGTGACCGAGTCTGGTTAGAGTCACATTCTGCAAAGCCCCAACAGTGTCCTTTGGTCACAAAGGCACCTGTAATCAGGTCCTCTGTCCAGCGAGCATCCACCTCCCCGGCCCAGGTGTCTCCAAAGTGCTTTTGAGGAGAGAGAGCCACCTGAGCTGCATCCAAGGTGGACACACTCCTCAGAACGACTGTGTCGAGTGAGTTAAGCCTGGGATCTCTACACATACTGCTTCTTGGATGCAGAGCTGTTGGGACGGCTGGGGGTCTTTCGGCCACCCTGCGGGGCCGGGTTAACGAAGGGAGGAGGTCTGGAAGAGGTCAGCCTCTCCTCTGTGGTCAAGTTGGCCCAGTTCTGCTCAGTGGACGAGAGCCCATTGTAGGTGGGACACGGTGGGGACGAGGGTGCCTCACCCATGGGGAGGTAGAAGAAAACCTGCTCGGGGTAAGGGTCTGAGGCACTGCCCTGGGTTGGGGGGGCATCGTGGTCCTTTCGAGCCTTTAGCTCGTGGCTGACACATCGGCACAACAGGTGCATCAGCTCTAGCAGGTTGAGCACCAAGGAGATGACGCCTACCACCAGCATGAAGATGATGAAGATGGTCTTCTCCGTGGGTCGAGAGACGTAGCAGTTGACGAGGTGGGGGCAGGGCGCCCGCTGGCACACAAACACAGGCTCCATAGTCCAGCCGTAGAGGCGCCACTGGCCATAGAGGAAGCCTGCCTCCAGCACGCTCTTGCACAGCACACTGACGACATAGGTACCCATGAGTGCCCCTCGAATCCGGAGGCGGCCGTCCTCTGCCACCGAGATCTTGGCCATCTGGTGTTCTATGGCAGCCAGCGCCCGCTCTACCTGCAGGTCCTTGGACGGCAGGGCCCGAAGCTCTCCCTCTTTCTGCCGAAGGCGCTCCTCCCGCCGAGACAGGTAAATGACGTGGCCCAGGTAGATCAGGGTGGGCGTGCTGACGAAGAGGAACTGCAGCACCCAGTATCGGATGTGGGAGATGGGGAAAGCCTGGTCGTAGCACACGTTGGTACAGCCCGGCTGCGCTGTGTTACACTCGAAGTCAGACTGCTCATCTCCCCACACGGACTCGCCCGCCAGGCCCAGGATGAGGATGCGGAAGATGAAGAGCACGGTCAGCCAGACCTTGCCCACCGCAGTCGAGTGCTCCTGGACCTGGTCTAGCAGCTTCTCCAGGAAGCCCCAGTCACCCATGTTGCCAGGGCCTCTCTCTGCAGGGAGACAGGGGTCAGACAGCCGTCAGCAGGGCAGCACAACGCCTTCCTCAGCTCCTCTTAGATGGAGGCCCTCGGGAGCTCCGTCACCCAGGGTCTGATCACACGCTGTGCCTTCTTTCACAAGCCAGTGCCCCAGGATGACCACAGCCCAGAGAGGACTGCATTGAGTAGAGGTTCCTATGGAAACAGAAGAGTTAGGGGAACTTAACCAAGGTCACACAGTTTTCCTCCCTTTTGTTCCGGGCTGGCTACCCCAAGACAGCAGGAGTGGGGAGGGAGATGTCCTCTCCAGGAGGTTCTCACCCTCCATGCTTCACTTAAAATGACAGGGCCTCATTGTCATCTATGCACTTGTCTGTGGGGGTGAGGGAAGCTGGGGAGAGGGGCTTAGGAGCCCAAGGCATTTGGTCCACCTGTCGACGAAAAGGACCACCTGCGATCTTAGTGACTACACCTGGTCCTGTCCTTTGCCTCCACCCCACTTCCCTCCCAAGCTGTTGCAGCCATTCTAGACCTTTGAAAGCAATGGCCATAGCTGGGTGGCGGTCCCAACGTTCCCAGAACATTTTACGGCATGTGTGTATGTGAGTGTGTGTGAATGTGTTAGTGTGTGTGTGGGGTTGCCTTCTGTAGAAGTAAAGCAGGTACCACCAGACCTATGTTTAAATCTTGCTTCCTTCTCACTACCTGGGGATTTGGGTAAGTAACCTTCTGGCGCGTCAGTCTTTCCTAAAGGGTGCAATGAAAGAAGAGAGAAGGGCGCTGAGCACAGAGCCTGGCTAAAAGACGGCTAGGTGAGCGCTGCTGGTGGCTTCAGTAGTGTCTGGCGCCCCGGGGCAAGATTCCTCAGTCCCCAGCAGTAGAGAGATCCGTACTCCCAGCTCCCCGAACTCACCGCCTGCTTGCCGGGCTGGCCCAGGTGGAGGGGACGACCGTGGCCAAAGCTGCGCCTGCGGGAATCCTGCAGGACCGCGCCTCCCACAGGACGCCTTAAATAGCGCGCAGCTGCGGGCTCAGGGCAGGAAACGCCAGCCAGAGGGCTCTAGGGAGCAGGGAGGCGGGGACTGGGAGGGACAGACTCCCAGGACCCGCCCAGATTGTGTATCTTAAGTTGCGGGAGGTGGAAGTCCTCTTTGCGCTCCGGTGTCGCAGACTGCCCTCTCCCGGGGTTCAGTCCCCGCCCCTTTTAGGCAGCAGAATTTGAGAGTTTTTAGCAAGAGCTGGCAGATCTGGCACCTGGTCCGGAGACTGTGAGGAGTGGGTGGGGCAAGAGACTCACCAGTGTGCCCGGCTTATTTGGACACTGGACCCACAATGGAGAGGGGTGAGACCTCTCCCTTCCCAGAATCCGGTGGATCTAGGGTTCTCTACTTCTCCAGTCCTGGGCGGGCTATGCCATCAGAAGCCACCTAGGAACTCCGTAGGGTCCTTTGAGACGTGTGTGTGTGTGGGGGGGGTGGGGGGGGAGTGGGGAGGCAAGCTTCTGCCCTTTAGCCGGATCCCAGCTGATGCCTCTGTAACGGAGAAGGAGAGATCTCCTAAGGGAATTTGGAGGCTTCACTGTGAGTGAAGAGCATGGGATTAAAGAGGACCCAGTCCGCAGCTGGGAAAATCCCAACAAACCAGCCAGGCCTGGTTTCCTACCCTAGGCGCAGAAACTGAGCAGGGCACTCCCTTGGATAACAGTAAAAGTGTAAATGTGGGGTCTTCTGTGGCAGAGCCGGGGCATCACAGGGTGTGGTGAGGGGGCCGAGCAAGCCAGGCAATGCGGACGGCTCACCAACGGCCCATCCTGGAGCTACCTAAGGTCTGATGCCACTCAGAAGAGGTGCAGAGACCCAGACACGAGGCTTGTCAGAGCAGAGGGTCAGACTGTGTTGCCTCATCTGCCCTTATGCATGTCTCCGTTCTTCCCCTAGCAGAACAAGGATAGCAATATACCTGCTTTGGGGAGCCGATGGGACATCCAGCCGAGGCTCTTAGTGTGCCATTGGTCCAGAAGGTTTGGGTGAGTACCTGGCAGACACTGTGACGTAAGCCCTGAACTTGGGAGGCTAATACAGGCAGTGCGAGAGTTCTACACCAACCTGGGCTACAAGCAACCAACCCAAACAAAACCCAACAACAAAGCTGGGCATGGTGGCACACACCTTTAATCCCAGCGCTCGGGAAGGCAGAGGCAGGCGAGTCTCTGTGAGTTCGAGGCTGGCCTGAGAGGAACCCTGTCTTGAAAAACAACAGCATCAGCAACAACAGCAGCAGCAACAACAACAAAATACCCCAGGCATGGTGGCACAGGCATCCTATAATCCTAGCTACTTGAGAGGCTGAGGCAAAGGGATTAAAATTCCAGCAGCCATGGGGCTGCCTAGAACTCACAGAGCACTGGGTTCTAGTCCGAGCATATCAACCAGGTGACTCACGCCTGCATCCTCTCAAGAGGTGGAGGCAAGAGTGTCCGAAGTTCAAGGCCATCTTCTCCACAGAGAATTTGAGGCCAGTCTGGGATGGGATGTGTGAGAGCTTGTGGGGGTGAGGGGTGGGGAGGAGAGGGGGAGAGAGAAAGAGTTAGTTCAAGGCCAGTCTGAGAAACTCAGTAAGAATCTTGTCTGGAAAAGTTGAGAGGAAGAAATCTGATGGTGTAGTTCGGCAGCAGAACCCTTGCCCGGCTTGTGCCAGGCACAAGGTTTCAGCCTCTATTATTGCAAATATGACCACCCGACCAGCGAAACAAAACCACCACAAAACCTGGCAGGAAAAAAAAAATCTGTGTTGTTCCAGGAGAGGGCAGAAAATCCGAGGGAGGTCAGAGCTAGAGGACTGACAGGGTCCAGGGCAGCTAAGAGAAAGGAAGGTGGCAGGTGGGTTGCAGCCTGAGGCTGGCCGAGGTCCAAACAGGATTCCGTCCTTGCGTTCCCAGGGGCCTCCTGGGCTGGGGCAGCCAGCGGGTGGGCTCAGACTGCAAGACCAGCACTGTTGCTGCCTGAGGATCAGGCTGAGCTGGCTTTCCCTTCCAGACCTCTCTTTCTCTCAGGGCTGGGCTAAGACGAGCTGAACCAAGCCTCCTGAGATTCCCAAGGGGACAACTGCGCCCATTTTGTTCTGACCCTCGGGGGCATGGGAACCGGGGCCTGGCCGGCTCTTACCACACCCCCAAGACTGCATCTGCTCCAGTAGCTTCTCTGCTGAGTTTTCTTGGAGGTTGGGCCCAGCTCGGTTGGGAGGTTTTGCTCCCATCCTGTTCCCTGGGAAAGGGGCAGGGAGCTAGTTGAGGGCTGTGAGGTGATGCCAAGGTTGCCCTTACTTATGGACTCCAAGATCAGATTTCATGGAGAAGGAAGGAGTAGGGGCCAAAACCAACACAACCTCCAAAAGTCAGCCATTCTGAGGGGATGGTTACGGGTTATAACCATATTCCCCATTTCCCCACACCCTCATTCTTCTCCTCCTTTCATCCTGACCCTGTTCAGACTCCCACCAACTCAAGCGACCCCACAATAAGTCTCCTAGGCTCCAGGCCCTTGTAGCCACTCAGCCTATACATTTCCATAAAAACCTGGCTCTGTGGTTGCTCTGTTTCAAACCCTGTTACCGCCCTTCCTGCCTTCTGGGCAGGGTCTGCAGTTTTTACTCTCCAGGCCTTGGCCACCACCTGTGGCTTTGGCACTCTGTCACCAGCCCTGGCCGGTTATTGTAACTATTCGGTGTCTGTGCGCTCGTGCCTGCGTACGTGACACTGTGTCTTCCTGGAGTACCCTCACACGCGGATCCCTCCAGTCTTTGCTCAGATGTCGTCTTTCCCACAAGTTCCCTTGCTGGTCCCCACCGGGTTAGGTAGGAATGCCCCCGCCCTGCAATTCGTTGTTTAAAGCTTTTTAGTTGCCGTTAATATATGTCATAATATATGAGATATAACTATATATATTTATAACACATAGGACTTAATATAAACTTATAATACACACACACAAGACTTGGTGGCAGAGACTGGAAGTCCCCGCATTCATGAGGAGGATTGCCTGTCCTAGGCTAGCCTATACTATACAAGATCTTGTGTCAATCAAAATGCAGCTCTTATCTCAAAGGAAATAAGAGACCGTTTATTCTGGACTCAAATATGAGTGACCATAGCCTGGGAGCACACATTTAAGTTACCCCGAGCGGGTGTGATGGGGCACGCTTGTAATCCCAGCAGAGGCAGTCAGATCTCCGTGAGTTCGAGGCCAGCCTGGTCTACAAAGGGAGCCCAGAACAGCCAAGGCTACACAGAGAAACCCTGTCTCAAACAAAACAAAACAAAACAAAACTAAAAACAACGTTAATAGAAACATCACGTAGCTGAGACCTGGCAAAGCCGGGGAGTCTCTACTCCAGGCCTCAGATATAATCGGGACGCTCTTAGCCTTTAGGTTGGTGGAAGCTAGGAATCGGCATATTCCAATGATAATACCTAATTGTCACAAGGATGTTGGGTTAAGTGCAGAGGTGGGCAACACATGGCTTTCGGGGGGCTAAAGATAACCTAAGATAATTTGATTTGAGACCTCCAACATTCCAGCTCCCCACAATCTCAGTCGGCTTGGTAGGACCTTTAACACAGATGCAGAGTGTGTGTAGGAGGCCCTCATTTTACACACACACACACACACACACACACACACACACACACACCTATCAGCATAGAGCCTGCCATCTCAACCAAGTTAGCTTCACCATGTATCAAGCATATCCAGGTTGCTATGCAACAGATCTCCAGAACTTTCCATCTTGCCAGGAGGGAGGGGCATCCTTTGAATGCCTTCCTTTTTCTTTACTCCCCCTGCCCCATGACCCTGGGAGCCTCTCAGGCAACCAGAACGAAGCAGGGCATCGGGCCTGTAGATGGATTTGTCAATCCAACATATACTTTCTGAGTACCGTCTGGTGTTGTAACACTGTCTAGACACTGGGAGCAACCAGGGAACACGAGATGCCTAGCCTCTTGGATTTTACTTTCTAGCTGTGGGAAGACAGAAAAGACGATATAATGAAGGACGAGTTAGTGACTCGTGCACATACAGCAGGGGTATGTGTACAGACTGGGAGCGCAGAACATGCCGTTTCGAGTTCTCATAGAAGAGAAACCTGCACCAAACAGCTGCCATCGAGGCTGAGCCTTGAGTGAAGAAGGAAGGAAGGAAGCCCCGTGGCCTTGGAGGTATCCCAGGTGGAGAGAACCAGGGCGTAAAGTTCCCGAGGCAGGGGTGTGCCTGGCGTTTCCTCCCTGAGGTGCAGCGGGAAGGTCTGCTGGCTGGGACAGGTGTGAAGAGGAGAGGAGGAAGGTGAAAGGTAAGTTGTCGGGTGGGACAGATTCACAGGCCCTGTCACAGATGACTGCCACTCAGACACAGAGGAGTGCTGTGGTCTCACTTTGGTTTTGCAGCGTGCCCGCACACCCCGGGATGCGCTGGGACTAAGCTGTGGGTGTGGTGTGGCGCCTGCGGACCAGTGCGGGCTGTCCACTTGAGCTGTGTAGAGTCTAGTCAGGTGGCAGCAATTCCAGGACAGAAAAGGCCTAACAGATTCCGCACAGCCCGTGGCCAGTCCACACCGGGGCGCTCTCTCTGTCCTCACATGAAATGCAATCCTTTTTAATTTTATTTTATTCTCCTCTCCTCTCTTCCACTCCTCCTCCTCTCCCCCTCTTTCTCCTTCCCTCCTACTTGTGGCCATGCTGGCCTCAAACGCCACACTGAGTGCTAGCGTTAAGGGGGTGTGTCACTGTATTCAGTGGGATCGTGGGATGTTGGAGACGGAGCCCAGGGCTTTGTGCATGCTGCCAACTCGTCCCAGAACCTTTAGCTTTTGTTCTTTTTGAGAGTCTCACTACGTGAACCAGACTGTCCTCAAACTGACGATCCTCCTCCCTCAGCCCTTCAAGTACTGGAGGTATAGGTGGGGGACCCCATGCTGGGTTTCTCCTGACTCTTTTTATAAGGACAATAATCCCACCTGACAGAGCTCTCCCCTCGTGCCCCAAACACCTCCCAAAGGCCCACTACCTAATGCCATCAAACCGGGGATAGGATTTCAATAGATGATTTGGGGGTGGGGTGGGGAAGAGAACACAAAGTCAGTCCACGTACAACACAGGGGTTCGCTCTAGAATGAATGGCGACAAAGAGACCTCTTGCTCCTCTAGGGCTGTAGGGTGTGGTGCCCGTGCATATATAGCTGGACCGAAGGAGGCATCTGAGAAGGGGAAGTAGGGAGAGGTGCACGCCAGGGGGATATGAGCTCCACCTGGTGGCAACAGTGATTGTCGCCAGGAACTTACTCATGAGCTGCAGCTGGATACCAGCTCCGGGTGGATCAGCATGCTGAATGGCTCCAAACATCTCTACCGACAGCTCCATGCACAGGGCTGGTCAAAAATTCTGTAGGCATCTCATCTGTTTCATGCCTGGAAGCACCATGGCCGATTAGACAGTAGCAAAAGTCATGCCGGCATAAAAATCGCCTTGCCTGTGCTGCCTCTTACATGTCAGGCCATCATGGACAGTTGCCCTGTGTAGGCTGCTTTTGCTTTTTATAGGCTGCCCCCTGGCTCCTGATACACTGGGGCTCAATTAAACCCATTGACTTTAATTCAGTGGTGTGTGTGTGTGTGTGTGTGTGTCTCCAACCCTGAGGTCTGGCACGAGAAAAAGGCCAATAACAAAAGCTCTTCAAACGTGCTGGTGCTCCTCTCACTATTTGCATCTTACAGCACTGATGAAGGGCTTGTCTTCTGGGCCTGCCCATTGTGGAGAACAGGGTTTTACACAGCAGACCCACCCTGGCATTGCGGTTTCCCTAAAATCTTCCCATCAACACCAAACCATGAGATATCAGGCAGGCCACCTTCTGACGAATGTCTTATCTAACCATTCAAACAAACTTTTGACACCTTAAAAAACAAAACAAACAACAACCCTGCAAGTTTCCATAGTAAAACTGGAATATCTGCTCAGTCGGTCTATAGCAACAAACTCAGCCCTATTCAGTTTTATCTTCCTTCCACCATTATCCCACACCCTGAAAATCCATTCCCACTCGTATTCCCCAGACTTCCGCTTGAGGGAATTAGCAGACTCATTAAGCTCTTTAGCAGTGTAGCACACTCCCTCGTGGGCTACACTTTCCACCTCTCCTCTCGGGAGCCTGCTTAGCTTCAGTCTGGATATAGGTCTAGAGGCAACTGTTTGGGCCCTGAGGAACATCGGTATTGCCTTGCAGCTGCGCTCACATCAGGAGTTTCACAGCCACCCATAGCTCCAGCCCCAGGAGATCTGATCCCTTCTCCTGGACACCTGCACTCATATGAGCAACATACTCCCCACAGATTAATATACACGTGATTAAAAAAAAGTTTTATAAAAGGACGATTCTGAAATATGTAGTAGCAAAACGTAGAGCTCAGCCCTCCCTGGGACCTTTGTAACCACCCAGCCCAAGCAGAGAGCGACCTGGCTAGGGCCCAACCACCAAAGACTCACCACAGTCACACCTAGGTGTTTCCTGCCTCTGACAGCCTAACCCGCAGTGTCTCCTTTGATCTCTGTAGTAGTCCTTGCAGAAGGAACTATACTGAGTGCTGAGCCGAGTCCTTCTGCCCCCCAGAGCTGCTCTCCACCCTACCCCACCCTGCTCTGTGCCCCGGAAGGCTCACCTGTACCCACAGCCTCAGCAGGCCTCCGAGTGCTCTGCCTTCTGCTTGGGTTGGGTCACTGAGGGCCACAGGCAGGTGAACAGGAGGTGGGAGAGTATGGCGGTGGTGTGAGGATTACTGGCTCCTGTGTGAATACATCCTCTAGCCCCCGCCCACCCCCATTTTGCATTCTAGGTGACTGCACCATTCCTTAGGTACCTCAGTAATTATTTCTCAAAAATGCCCGGCAGAAGCAACCTGAGGCTAAAGAGGTTTATATTATCTCAAAATATGGGAGTGCAATATGTTATGGCCAGGGAAATACGGCAGCGGGGGCCTCACAGGCAGGCCTCCACAGCGGCTTGTCTCCTAGGTGACTCTTATACCAGGTCAACATAAGCCGTCACAGGCACTGAAGCGCCCCTTGCCTTTCCTCATCATCCAGTCTCTGCAGAAAGTTCCCCCCCTTCAGCACCATCTCACCGGGAAGTCAAGGCTGGCTTTGAGTTCATCATTCTCCAGCCTTGATTGCCCAAGAGCTGGGGCTCACCGGCCTCTTACTGCCATATCTATCCATAGTTAACTTAATTCGAATGTGTTGTGCTTTTTCTTCTGGGACCTTGGCTGACGATTGTATTGACAATAAGGCGGGGGTTCTTACAGTTCAATCCAAGTGTAGAGTGGTGGAATTATTGTAAGATGACGATCAGCCTAGCCCAGAGCCTGTTAAACCGTGTTGACTCACCCACCCCTTAACGGCCACAGAGAGCAAAGGTGAACCACACAGCCTGCTGTGTGTGCGAGGTGCCCCGACCTCTCTTTGCCCTTGCTGGCTGTCAGCCTATTCACTGGCTCTTGGCATTAGCTTTAATAGTCACTGAATGTTTCCTGAGGGTTAGTCTATGCTTGCAGAAAGCTCGGTTTCACATTCCGGTCTCCCCCAGACTAGCACCTTGGGCTTAGACGGTCCCAAACTTTTTTTTTAGGGCATGTGTGAAAAAAGTTCAGGGGTGGAGGGGATGGACAGAGCTGAATGAATCGATGGCTGAGGCTGGGGGTGTGAGCAGCCTCTAGAGCGGCTACGTACTTACGCCACCGTGAGTGTACGCAAGTGAGAGTCTGAGCAGCAGGGATTGTGTGGACACAGGGTGGGGAAATGGGCTGAGCGAGCAACCGAGGAGGGAGTGTGATTTGTTTGTAAAGAGAGTGACTGTGAGTGTGCACAGATCAGTCTAACTTAGAAGGCTGGAGGCGCCCTCTGGTGGCCACAACTAGAATCCCAACGTGTGTGTTTATCCCCCACCCCCTTTTGCCAGTTGCCACCAGCAGCTCCACCCTTTCCCAACCACGTCTTCAGCCAGACTCGGTCACGGTCCCTACCCCAGCTTCATCCCCAAGCTCCAGGGCTCTTTCCTTTCCCCAGGGTTACCTCCTTTGACTTCAGGGAGCTGTGGGTGAAAGTTGGGGAGAATGGAGGAAAAGAACCAAATTTTATAAAACACAACTTTATTGCTTTGAAGGAAACTGACTTGGATATGCTCCCATTCCATGCATGCCCCCAAGGTCCTGGCCACAGGGTGCAGCGGGCTGAGTACCCTGGTGGGAGGGAGAAGAGTCTTTGCTGCCTGAAGGTGGAGGTTGGTAAAGGGAGATCCAGAGGAGCCACAGGTGTCTCAAGCAGCAGCTGGTATGACAAGACCTCCTGCCCCTTCCACGTTCGCTCTTTGGCCTCCAGAACATTCCACCTAGGAACCTGGGCAGCCTCTCATGGCTGAGTGGTAAAGACTCTCTCTTGGGCTGGCTGTCCCCAGTCCAGGGCCGGCACCCCTCCTCTGAGATGCCCAGTTCTTTTTGCTGTTGCTGTCTCTGCTGGAGAGCCCCCTCTCATTTCTCTCTTCCACCATGTGTTTTCTGAGAGGGTGCCCCGTAGTCCCTTGGGAAAGGTAGAAGCCCTGCTTACCAGTCCAGCGCCAAGTAGACCCTTGCATGCATGTAGTCCCTTTGCTAATTTAAATGTCTCTCCAAAGCTGGGTTTGGCCGTGCTACCTATACAAGGTAGCCAGGACAGAGCCCAGCACCCACAAAACACCTGCCTCCAACAGAATTGGCTAGCTTAGTGAATTCAAAGTGGGGGGCACTCAGCACCCCCAGGACCCCTCCCCCTCCAGCACCTCCCTGCTTCACCCCTCCTCCAGCACGTGGTTCAGATGGGGGTCAGGTTGGGTGCTGAAGCCTGCAGGGTGTTGGCTGGGCCTGGCTCCGTCTCCCCACTCTCCAGCAGCTTGTGGTGACAGCGGCAGGTGGAGGCCCGGCTGGAGGACTTCGGGGAGCTCACACTCTTCGCAGGGTTGCCCTTGCTCAGGCCTCGCATAACCCTGTGGAAGACGAGGTAGCAGATCTCACAGATGGTGAGAATGATACAGACGGCCGAGGCGCCCACCATGAAGTAGGTAAAGACCTTCTTCTCCGTGGGCCGAGCGATGTAGCAGTCGACGATGTTGGGGCAGGGCACCACGCCGGCACACTGTACCAGACGTGGCATGGTGAAGCCATGCCAGAGCCTATGTAGGACATACAGGAAGACCAACTCAATAATGAGCTTGAAGATGAGGCTAAACAGGTAAGTCCACCACAACCCGCCGTGTTTCTTGCCGGGGTGGCTGTACAGTTTGGGACAGTGCTCCCCGTTCTTCTGGCGGTGCTTCCGCTCCCGCTCCTCGCGGTAGGCTACGTGCAGGATGACCAGCATGGAGGGACACGTGACGAAGATGAGCTGCAGGGCCCAGAGGCGGATGTTGGAGATGGGGAAGAAGTTGTCATAGCACACGTTGGTACAACCGGGCTGCCTGGTGTTACAGTCAAAGTCCTTTTGCTCGTCACCCCACACACGCTCAGCCGCCACCACGTACACCAGCACCCGGAAGACGAACACTACCGACAGCCAGATGCGTCCGAAGGCCGTGGAGTACTGGTTCACGCCGCTCAGTAGGTCCTGGAGTTTCTTCCAGTCCATCGCGCCTGCTCAGGGCCTGGGGCGCTGTGCCCACCTGGGGGAGCAATGGAGAGAACCGTTATGCTAATGATTCGCTTGATGATGACTATTTATTAAACTAAAAAATAGCTTTTGTTTATGGATATAGGTGTCGTCATTCACGCATGCGCACATGCTGCGGAGTCCAGAAGAAGGTGTGGGAGCCTGTGAGGATGGAATTGACAGCCCCTTAGAAAGCGCTCTTAACTGCTCAGCCGTCTCTCCTGCTCCACCTTTTGTTTAAACAAATCACACACCTTTAATCCCAGTACTCGGGAGGAAGAGGCAGCTGGATCTCTGTGAGTTGGAGGTCAACCTGGCCTATATAGCAGGTTTCAGGACAGCCAGAGCTATATCATGAGAGAGAGAGAAGAAAAAAAAAAAAAAAGAAAAAGACTTTTTGCAAATTTTACTATGTAGCCTAGGCTCAGCCATCTCTCTGGTCCTCCATTAGAAAAAAAAAAAAAAATCACAGCATAACCTAGGCTGGCCTAGAACTGGCCATGCGCCTCTGCCTCTTTCAGAGGTGTGTGCCACCACACCCAGCACTCATTCATTTGGGTGGACTTTGTCAGTCGTCACAAGGATCCTGGAACTGAGGACTTTCATTCTTCCCAAGCTGTAGATGGACACTCAGGCTCACGGAGATTACGGAACAGGCCCAAAGTCACGGAACCAGACGGCAGTTGCCGACCAGCCTTTCCGGCGAGCCACACGCGAGCTTGCAGCATTCGCAGTATTGGGAATCTCACCTAACCCTTCGGAAGGAGCCCTGCAGGGGCTCTGCTCTGCTCCCAACCTGTGGATGGGGAATCTGATAATCGAATGACAGTGACGGTAAAGCACTTAGAGCCCGTGATAAGTGATAAGTGATGGTGACTCATTAATGCAGGGCACAGGAAGCCAGGAAGTCACTGTGGAAGAGAGTAGACTTAGGCCCACGCTCTCCGCTACCTTCCGATCCCTTCCTGAGGTCCACCCAAGACCACTGGTTTTTGTGTTTTCTTCCTTTTTCCTTTTCAGACAGCATCTCCAACTGGCTTTGAATTCTCTGTAGAGCCAAGCCAAGGATAACTTTGAAATTCTAATTCCCCATCCTCTGCTTCCTGAGTGCTGGCTTTGCAGTCCTATAACACCATGTCCAGTTTTATGTGGTATTGAGGCTAGAACCCCAGGCCCTAGCCACGCTAGGCAAGTACTGAGCTACAACCTGAGCCACAAGCCACCATTTCTGAAAACTGTCCCCTCATCACTGTCTCAGCAGCATCCTGTGAGCTTGGGGTTTTGAGCCTGAGGAGACTGAAACTGGAAGAGGAGAAAAGACCCTGTCAATGTTTTGTTTTGTCTTATGTGTATGAGTCTCGCCTGCACGTGTTTCTGCGCTCCGCACGTGTGCCTGGTGCTGGTAGAGACAGGAATAGGGCATCGGATCCCCTGGAACTGCATTTACAGACAGCGGCGAGCTTCCGTGTGGGTGCTGGGCATCAAACCTAGGTGCTTTGGAAGAGCAGCTGGTGGTCCTAAATGTCTAGCCATCTCCCCGGCTCCAAGACTGGCTAACATTGCACAGTCAATGGTGGAAAAGACAGAGAGAGAGAGAGAGAGAGAGAGAGAGAGAGAGAGAGAGGTGCCAGGTGGGACACACACAGGGTTTAGGTTTGTTTCCTGGGAAAGCACTAATTGCAGAGGATGTGCAGAGTCAGAGGGCTGGGGGACCTAGCCACCCTTAGCCGTGCTGTTAGCCGTGGTTTGTAGGGATGATGGGACCAGCCCTCTCATCTTCCTCCTGGTTCTGGGTGACTCAGCGGGTGTGGACAGTGGGTTGGTGAGTGTACCTGGGATTGGCATGCCGATAGGGGCGTGAGAGAATGCACCTCTCCCCAAGCCTGTATGGACCTGAGAGTGCACGTGAGTGCTTTTGGGGCTGTTTGGAATGACTGCTGGACCACCATCTCGGCCCAAACTAACATCATCCTTGTCCATATTCCTGCCACAGCCTCCTCACTGGCCTCTGAGCTGTTCTCTGCACCCCGCACCATTAAACTGTGATTACATTCCTCTCTTGTTAAAACTCTTTATTGGCTCTCACTGTGCTTGCTCCCAACCCCAGAGTCTCCAGCCCTTTCACCCGCACCCACCCCATACCCTTACCTTGCCTCTCTCTTCTCGGGCCCTTGCCTTGATTCCTTCTGCCTGGAATGCTCTTCCTCCAAAGTCCTAACTGGCCGGCCCCTACTCATTAAGGAGGTATCTCTGTTCCAACATCCCCTCAGGGGCTGCTCTCAAATTACTTCAGGTTTGGACCTGCCCCAGCCGGTTTGCCCGTGCTTCCTTCTCTTTCGGTAGCACCCAGTCTAAATCTGAAATTTAAATCTTGGTCATTTTTTGTTTGTTTGTTTGTTTGTTTGTGTTCTCATCTGTCATCTGTCTGTCCCAGTTCATGCTGAATGAGTAAACAGGCAAAAGCTGAGTTCTCCAGGAGGTGGTGGGAAGGCTAGGCAGGAGGGCAGAGGGCCAGCCTGGCCAGGAGCTAGATTGTAGTACACTTCCTCAGTACGGCTGCACTCCACAGGGCCTGTCTTTTGAGAATCTCAGTTCTGGACAGGATGCGGGGAACTGGGGAGCTCTAGTCCCCTGAAGCCCCTCATGGGTTTGGTCTTCGCACTGTCTAAACCCTCCAGGGAGAGCCAATGATTAGCACCTGGATTCTGACCTCCGTTCTGCCACTTACTAGCTGGGGGACATCCGAGAATTCTGTAACGTCGCTAACCCGTTCCTTATCTCTTATCTTGGATTTCGGCAAGAATCCAGGACTGTTCCCTCCCCAGCCTGCTCTTCCTGGGAAGGCTCAAGGAGAGTGAGGGGGAGGAGAGGGGTTCCTTCTACCTGGTACCCTCTAAGGATGCCCCCTCTGAAGCTCCCCTTTCTTGGTACAGGCTGCCTAGTTCCTCCTGAGACACACCCGGGGACAGACTCACCAGCTAACAATTCCCGCCTAGCCCGTGCTGGGGACTGGTGGAGCCGGTTCTGGATCCCCTGTTGCCCCCCAACTCCAGCTGCCAGAACAACCATTTTTCACCCAGCTGCGGGACAAGGACCAAACTACTCCATCTCTTTCTTTCTACCCCCAACCGTGGCTGGCCCCAAAGGTATAGCTCCCCCTCTTGCTCCTCCTCCCCGTTAGTAGTTTCCTTCCAATCCAGGCAGCTTGGGAGCTTGTGGACCAGTGACTGGGAGTGGGGGGGGGGGGGCGTCCTTCTGTGAAACTTCTAGTGGCTGGAACCGCCAACTGGTCCAGAATGCTGGTGTGTGTGTGCATGTGTGCATGTGTGCGTGTGTGTGTGTGTGTGTGTGTGTGTGTGTGTGTGCGCGTGTGAGCGGAGCAGGCGGAGTAGGGCTAGGGTGCCCCTCCACTGCCCTTCTGCGGCACTCAACCCTCAGCGTGGTCGCGTGGGCAGGCCCCAGTCCAGCCCGGCCCACTATGAGATGGCTATAGAGAGGGGCCCTCAGCCGCCCAGGCTTGTCACCCATTCCCGGTACTTACGGTCAGCGGCGCTGCCACCGTGGGGGCCTGGCCCCACGTGCCCAAGACCCACAGCAGAGAAGGAAGGACCGAGGCCGAAGCCCAAGCCGAGCTCTGTGGCCTCCTTGAGGCTCTTGGCCAGCACAGCCAGAGGCGGCGTGGAGGAGGGGAGGCCGGGGGAGGAGCTCAGAGCCGCCTCAGGGGTACAAGTTCTAATCCAGCAGTAGCTGTGTGGACCTGGGATCAGCAGGCTGCTTTGGGGAGCCTCTGCTTGCGCCTGCTGGTGCTTGGAATGGAGGCATTGGTGGCCACGGACAGGGCTGTTGCAAAGGCTGCAGTGACATTAGGGCGTGAAACACCTTGCAAACTGTTGAGTGCCGAGGCAGTAGGGATTGCAATAAATGACTCGCCTACTGCTGGTTACCACGGATACCACAACCTGTGCCCTGCCCATCTGGATCCCGGCCTGCTGCAAGCTTTCAACCCTGCGTGCCTTGGGACACTCCCGGGGGCCTCACCTGCCCTGTTTCCGTCCTTGATGGCATTCTCCAGGGAGGCAGATGTATGTTTGTGACAGTCCTGCAGGGCTCACACTCTGTGCGGGCCGCCGGAAGGGACACAACCCGGAAAAGAAATCTCAGGGGCAAGGGTGGTGCTTGGAGCGATTTTGGAGGACCCAGTCTGTCTAAGGTTGTGTGAAGCAATACGGGAGGCAGAGCTTGTGAAGTGCGGAGGCCAGTGGTTGAGGGGCTCCTGGGCTGGGCTCGGGGGACCAGGACACTTAGTCTTATTTGTGTGCGTGGTCTGGGATCCTGAAAGTCCCTAGCATCCCAGGAACGGAAACTCAGGATTTCCAGGGGATCCCCAGATCTTAGTCACAATCTTGCCTGAGGCTTCACTGTCTAGACAGAGATGACTGTTGGCCCGACCCTGGTGACTGTTCACCCCACTTGCCCGGACTGTATCCACTGATGCAAAAGGCTTTAGGAGGCTCCGTTACTGTCGCCTACCCCTACCCGGAGGGATTACTGCGCACATAAGCTGCTTCCCTATGTGCTTCATACCGTCCATACAGTATGCAAATGAAGTACCTGATCGTGTCTACATTTAAAGCAGAAAAAGGAGACAGGAATGATGTGCTCAGGGCCACATAGAAGAAGTAACATAACCACCTCCGGGGACCTCAGTGAAGTTGGCTTTGGATAAAGCGAAGGCGTTTGGCAGACTAGCCACAGGCACAGCCTTTCTTAGCACTGTGGCTTCGCAGTGCAGGGGTTTTCTGGATGACTCTGCGGATGAGCCTGTGTGATGGTGGGGGACCCTGCCCCTGCCTGTTATTCCCCGTAGACTTCAGAGCAAAACCCTTGGCGCCATTTCTTCATCTCCACCAATCCATAAGAACTTTTTTTTTGTCCCTGCTGTGTCACAAGAAAAAGCAGCTCTCATAGCGAGGGATGCTTTTCTCCTCAGGGG